AGAGGTAACAGGTTTGCGTAAGGGTAAAAAGTCCAGGAAAAGCTTAGGGAAGTATACAATGACAGGTAAGTTAAGGGTACGGGTAAAATCTGCATATTCTTTATCTCTCTTCAGTAAAAACCACAGCCAGTCCTTGTGAACCCCCACCAATAGAAATCACATTTCTATTTTAAAAAAAATGTCTATAAGAACAAAATAATGTAAAAACAAAGTCATATGTATGTATGCATGTATGTATGCATGTATGAACAGTATTCATCCCCCTATTTTGTTGTATTACAACCTGTAATTTAAATGGATTTTTATTTGAATTTCATGTAATGGACATGCACAAAATAGTCCAAGAAAAAATTATAAAATATAAATAACGGAAAACTGGTGTGTGCATATGTATTCACCCCCTTGGCTATGAAGCCCCTAAATAAGTCACATAATTAGTTAATAAAGTCCACCTGTGTGCAATCTAAGTGTCACATGATCTGTCACATGATCTCAGTATACACCTGTTCTGAAAAGCCCCGGAGTCTAAGCAAGGGGCATCACCAAGCAAGCGGCACCATGAAGACCAAGGAGCTCTCCAAACAGGTCAGGGACAAAGTTGTGAAGTACAGAACAGGGTTGGGTTATAAAAAAATATCAAACTTTGAACATCCCACTGAGCACCATTTAAATCCATTATTAAAAAATTTAAAGAATATGGCACCACAGCAATCCTGCCAAGAGACGGCCGCACACCAAAACTCACGGACCAGGCAAGGAGGGCATTAATCAGAGAGGCAACAAAGAGACCAAAGATAACCCCGAAGAAGCTGAAAAGCTCCACAGAGGAGATTGGAGTATCTGTCCATAGAACCACTTTAAGCCGTTCACTCCAAAGAGCTGGGCTTTACGGAAGAGTGGCCAGAAAAAAGCCATTGCTTAAAGAAAAAAAATAAGCAAACACGTTTGGTGTTCGCCAAAAGGCATGTGGGAGACTCCCCAAACATATGGAAGAAGGTACTCTGGTCAGATGAGACTAAAATTGAGCTTTTTGGCCATCAAGGAAAACACTATGTCTGGTGCAAACCCAACACCTCTCATCACCACGAGAACACCATCCCAACAGTGAAGCATGGTGATGGCAGCATCATGCTGTGGGGATGTTTTTCATCGGCAGGGACTGGGAAACTGTTCAGAATTGAAGGAATGATTTATGGCGCTAAATACAGGGAACTTCTTGAGGGAAACCTGTTTCAGTCTTCCAGAGATTTGAGACTGGGACGGAGGTTCACCTTCCAGCAGGACAATGACCCTAAGCATACTGCTAAAGCAACACTTGTGTGGTTTAAGGGGAAACATTTAAATGTCTTGGAATGGCCTAGTCAAAGCCCAGACCTCAATCCAATTGAGAATCTGTGGTATGACTTAAAGATTGCTGTACACCAGTGGAATCCATCCAACTTGAAGGAGCTGGAGCAGTTTTGTCTTAAAGAATGGCAAAAATCCCAGTGGCTAGATGTGAATAGTTATGTTTTTTTGTCTTATTTCTTGTTTGTTTTACAAAAAAAAGTATTTTGCATCTTCAAAGTGGTAGGCATGTTGTGTAAATCAAATGACACATACATTTTTTTTCCAGGTTGTAAGGCAACAAAATAAGAAAAATGGCAAGGGGGGTGAATACTTTCGCAAGCCACTGTATGCATGTGTGTGTGTGTGTGTGTGTATACACACACACACACACACACACACACACACGCGCACACACACAGTACCAGTCAAAGGTTTGGACACCCCTACTCCTTCAAGGGTTTTTCTTTATTTTTACTATTTTTTACATTGTAGAATAATAGTGAGGACATCAAAACTATGAAATAACACATATGGAATCATGTAGTAACCAAAAAAGTGTTAAACAAATCAAAGTATATTTTATATTTGAGATTCATCAAATAGCCACCCTTTGCCTTGACAGCTTTGCACACTCTTGGAATTCTCTCAACCAGCTTCACCTGGAATGCTTTTCCAACAGTCTTGAAGGAGTTCCCATATATGCCAAGCAAGTCTCTTCTTATTATTGGTGTCCTTTAGCAATGGTTTTTTTTGCAGCAATTCGACCATGAAGTCCTGATTCACATAGTCTCCTCTGAACAGTTGATGTTGATGTGTCTGTTACTGAAGCATTTATTTGGGCTGCAATTTCTGAGGCTGGTAACTCTAATGAGCAGAGGTAACTCTGGGTCTTCCATTCCTGTTGCGGTCCTCATGAGAGGAGTTTTATCATAACGCTTGATGGTTTTTGCGAATGCACTTGAAGAAACTTTCAAAGTTCTTGAAATGTTCTGTATTGACTGACCTTCATGTCCTAACGTAATGATGGACTGTAGTTTCTCTTTGCTTATTTGAGCTGTTCTTACCACAACACAACTGATTGGCTCAAACGCATTAAGAAGGAAATAAATTCCACAAATGCACTTTTAAGAAGGCATACCTGTTAATTGAAATGCATTTCAGGTGACTACCTCATGAAGCTGGTTGAGAGAATGCCAAGTTTGTGCAAAGCTGTCATCAAGGCAAAGTGTGGCTATTTGAAGAATCTCAAATATAAAATGTATTTTGATTTGTTTAACACTTTTTTTGGTCTCTTCACTATTATTCTACACTCTTGACTGGTAGTGTATGTATGTATATGTGTGTGTGTGTGTGTGTGTGTGTATATATGTATATATATATACTTTTGAAGTCGGAAATGTACATACACTTAGGTTGGAGTCATTAAAACTTGTTTTTCAACCATTCCACACATTTCTTGTTAACAAACTATAGTTTTGGCAAGTCGGTTACTTTGTGCATGACACAAGTAATTTTTCCAACAATTGTTTACAGACAGATTATTTCACTTATAATTCACTGTATCACAATTCCAGTGGGTCAGAAGTTTACATACACTAAGTTGACTCTGCCTTTAAACAGCTTGGAAAATTCCAGAAAATTATGTCATAGCTTTAAAAGCTTCTGATAGGCTAAGTGACATTATTTGAGTCAATTGGAGGTGTACCTGTGGATGTATTTCAAGGCCTACGTTCAAACTCAGTGCTTCTTTGCTTGACATCATGGGAAAATCTAAAGACATCAGTCAAGACCTCAGAAAATAAATGGTAGACCTCCACAAGTCTGGTTCATCCTTGGAGGCAAATTACCAAACGCCTGAAGGTACCACGTTCATTTGTACAAACAATAGTACACAAGTATAAACACCATGGGACCACACAGCTGTCATACCGCTCAGGAAGGAGACGCGTTCTGTCTCCTAGAGATGAACGTACTTTGGTGCAAAAAGTGCAAATCAATCCCAGAACAACAGCAAAGGACCTTGTGAAGATGCTGGAGGAAACAGGTACAAAAGTATCTATATCCACAGTAAAACGAGTCCTATATCGACATAAATTGAAAGGCCGCTCAGCAAGGAAGAAGCCACTGCTCCAAAACCGCCATAAAAAAGCCAGACTACGGTTTGCAAATGGGGACAAAGATCATCGTTTTTTGAGAAATGTCCTCTGGTCTGATGAAACAAAAATAGAACTGTTTGGCCATAATGACCATCATGTTTGGAGGAAAAGGGGGTGACTTGCAAGCCGAAGAAAACCATCCCAACCGTGACGCATGGGGGTGGCAGCATCATGCTGTGGGGGTGCTTTGCTGCAGGAGGGCCTGGTGCACTTCACAAAATAGATGGCATCATGAGGAAGGAAAATTATGTGGATATATTGAAGCAACATCTCAAGACATCAGTCAGGAAGTTAAAGCTTGGTCGCAAATGGGTCTTCCAAATGGACAATGACCCCAAGCATACTTCCAAAGTTGTGGCAAAATGGCTTAAGGACAACAAAGTCAAGGTATTGGAGTGGCCATCACAAAGCCCTGACCTCAATCCTATAGAACATTTGTGGGCAGAACTGAAAAAGCATGTGCGAGCAAGGAGGCCTACAAACCTGACTCAGTTACACCAGCTCTGTCAGGAGGAATGGGCCAAAATTCACCCAACTTATTGTGGGAAGCTTGTGGAAGGCCTCCCGAAACATTTGATCCAAGTTAAACAATTTAAAGGCAATGCTACCAAATACTAATTGAGTGCATGTAAACTTCTGACCCACAGGGAATGTGATTGAAGAAATAAAAGCTGAAATAAATAATTCTCTCTACAATTATTCTGACATTTCACATTCTTAAAATAAAGTGGTGATCCTAACTGACCTAAAACAGGGAATTGTTACTAGGATTAAATGTCAGGAATTGTGAAAACTGAGTTTAAATGTATTTGGCAAAGGTGTATGTAAACTTCCGACTTCAACTGTGTATATATGTATATATATATATCATATAATCCATAGCGAAAGACATTGGAAAATGCTCCAAGCGATTTTGGCTGCAATAGGCTACCATGTGTCGCATCTCCAATGCCTCTCCCCATACATCATTCTCATCTCTACTGTACACATCAATATTTACTCAGCGAACAGCGGCGGTCCTTCCCCAGAAAACAGGAAAGCAGTAGTGCAACAAACTTTAGTAGTATTTTTTTTCTGAAAAGCAATTTGTCAAGTACAAGCCCACGATATAAACCCCCTCAACCCCCAGATAGAACACGTGACATTTCTTTTTTGGTTCTTTAACTAAAAAAGTACCAGAAGACGGTGAGTAAGCAGGCTCATGCTTTTCACGGTTGCCTGGGCGATGGCAGCTGGCATGACCCTTTACTTTTTTACCTTTCTGTGACTTTTGAAGGCTTATCTGTGAGGCTATGAGTGAGCAGAAACAATGAAATAAAAGGCATTATATTGAGGCGCCCAGACAAAGCTACATTCTGTCTTTGAAGAATAAAAAGGAAAAAGAGAAAGAAGGAACAATGGAACAAAAAAAATAGTTTTGGGTTCCGTTGACAACGTACATTTTTTATTAAGGCTAAAATGACTTAATCTTGATCCTTTTTTTGTCCCGTCCCCCCTCTCTCTCTCTGAGTACTACTACTTTTTCTTCTTGAACAAGCTCTTGATCTTGGACGAGGACCTCTTGGTCTTGTCTCCGTTGTCACAGGAGTCCTGAGAGGAGGTACTCTGTAGCTTCTGCTCCTTTCCCCCTGCCCCCCTGCCCTCATTGTCCAGTGAGGTGAGGGATGGGTAGTGCACCACCACCACCCCCCCTGCCCCCGTCATGCCTGCGGGCAGCTGGCCCATGCTATAGGACTTCTCCAGGATGCCGTTGAATACGGCCTTGTTGCCCGCCGTCGAGGTGGCGAAGGACATGCTGTGGGACTCTGGGATGGAGCCACGGGTGAGGTCGGGTGAGCCCTTGTGTTTGTGCGTGTGGGAGTGTGAGTGGTGCTCCAGGGCAGGGGAGGGGTTGGCCGAGGAGGGGGTCGTGGGGGACGCGGCTCCCCCTTGAGGAGGGGGTGAGTCCCGGATGTAAGTCTGAGGCTCTTGCTGGCTCAGCATCATCAGCTCTTCGCGGGAGATCTTGCGGTAGGGGGTCTCTGGGCCCGGCATGCAGGGGTTGGTATAGGACTGTTTCCGTCCCATGGAGGAGTTGAGAGAGTCTGTGTCTGATGACGTATCCTGAGTGTCCCTGTCCCTGAGAGCGAGAGAGAGAGAGAGAAGAGAGACAGCAGAGAAAGAGAGCAGCGAGACAGAGATAGTAAGAGAAATAGAAAATGTTACAACACAACTAACATCATTCAAAGTCTTATATTCTAAATAAATTACCCTAAACTGATCCGGTATAAAAGAGGGCAGAGGTGGTGAAATGTAACATACCCCTTTCTCTCGATGAAGAGGATGTGTTCTTCTTCTCCCTCTGGGTGGTAGGAGAGGAGTGGGCTGGCTATAGAGAGCAGGTCAGGGTCGGCAGACATCATTGAAGGCTGCTGGGTGCTGTAGAGACTCCGGCGGGACCGACACAGGCTGCTGCTGCGCGTCAGAGGGGGCCGCATTATAGAGGCTGCTGGGAAATACCAGCGAGACGGGATGTAGGTTACACTGCCAGATGTGGTCATAACCATAGTCATACATATAGTACTTGGACTGAACACACACAACTTAAAACACACATTTTAAATCTATTTTAGCGTTGTTGAGGTAAAATCAGACGAAGTACACTCACATGCTGTACTGACCATCATCACTTTATAAATCAGATTACTTACTGTATATGAGTAACGCTGTAAAGTAACGTAACTTTTTCAAAAAAAAATTATTACAGTTACTTTATCAAACAATGCGCAATACTTTCACAATCATATCTCTACCGGGCCCATGTTTCCATGATCCGATCTCAACTTGTTTCTTCATTTAGTTCTCGAGCGAGCGGAGAAAGGCTGTTTGGAGAAATGTCAAGACAGCTGCTGTCCATAGAAATGTATAGAGGGAGCACCTATGATTTGTGCTATTGATAATTTATGTGATAGCAAATCCCATAGAGGGCCTTCCGTCTAATGGCAAGTGTGCCCTCTATACATCTCTATGGGACCGTGTGCCTGCGGTTTATAACCAGAACTGGCGGCTTGAGAAAATATTTTTCATGAAAAGATAGGAAATCTGTACAGATGTTTGACTTACAGTATATATAGCTAATGAAGCAGCCCATACAGTTGAAGTTGGAAGTTTACATACACCTTAGCCAAATACATTTAAACTCAGTTTTTCACAATTCCTGACATTTAATCCTAGTAAACATTCCCTGTTTTAGGTCAGTTAGGATCACCACTTTATTTTAAGAATGTGAAATGTCAGAATAATAGTAGAGAGAATTATTTATTTCAGATTGTATTTCTTTCATAACATTCCCAGTGGGTCAGAAGTTTACATACACTCAATTAGTATTTTAATATTAAATTGTTTAACTTGGGTCAAACGTTTCGGGTAGCCTTCCACAAGCTTCTCACAATAAGTTGGGTGAATTTTGGCCCATTCCTCCTGACAGAGCTGGTGTAACTGAGTAAGGTTTGTAGCCCTCCTTGCTCGCACATGCTTTTTCAGTTCTGCCCACAAATGTTCTATAGGATTGAGGTCAGAGCTTTGTGATGGCCACTCCAATACCTTGACTTTGTTGTCCTTAAGCCATTTTGCCACAACTTTGGAATATGCTTGGGGTCATTGTCCATTTGGAAGACCCATTTGCGACCAAGCTTTAACTTCCTGACTGATGTCTTGATGTTGCTTCAATATATTCACATAATTTTCCTTCCTCATGATGCCATCTATTTTGTGAAGTGCACCAGTCCCTTCTGCAGCAAAGCACCCCCACAGCATGATGCTGCCACCCCGTGCTTCACAGTTGGGATGGTGTTCTTTGGCTTGCAAGCCCACCCTTTTTCCTCCAAACATAACGATGGTCATTATGGCCAAACAGTTCTATTTTTGTTTCATCAGACCAGAGGACATTTCTCCAAAAAGTACGATCTTTGTCCCCATGTGCGGTTTTGGAGCAGTGGCTTCTTCCTTGCTGAGCGGCCTTTCAGGTTATGTCGATAAGGACTCATTTTACTGTGGATAGAGATAATTTTGTACCTGTTTCCTCCAGCATCTTCACAAGGTCCTTTGCTGTTGTTCTGGGATTGATTTGCACTTTTCGCACCAAAGTACATTCATCTCTAGGAGACAGAACGCGTCTCCTTCCTGAGCGGTATGACGGCTGCGTGTTCCCATGATGTTTATACTTGCATACTATTGTTTGTACAGATGAACGTGGTACCTTCAGGTATTTGGAAATTGCTCCCAAGGATGAACCAGACTTGTGGAGGTCTACAATTTTTTTCTTGGCTGATTTCTTTAGATTTTCCCATGATGTCAAGCAAAGAGGCCTTGAAATACATCCACAGGTACACCTCCAATTGACTCAAATGATGTCAATTAGCCTATCAGAAGCTTCTAAAGCCATGACATAATTTTCTGGAATTTTCCAAGGTGTTTAAAGGCACAGTCAACTTAGTGCATGTAAACTTCTGACCCACTGGAATTGTGATACAGTGAATTATAAGTGAAATAATCTGTCTTTAAACAATTGTTGGAAAAATTACTTGTGTCATGCACAAAGTAGATGTCCTAACCGACTTGCCAAAACTATAGTTTGTTAACAAGAAATTTGTGGAATGGTTGAAAAACGAGTTTTAATGACTCCAACCTAAGTGTATGTAAACTTCCGACTTCAACTGTATATAGCGCAGCATTTGTAGACTAGCACAGGAAAGCAGCGCCACAGATGAAAGGAGGAACTAGTGATCGCCTTGCTCCCTCTGACAGTCAAACAAACGGTGAGATTGATATTTTTTTCATGAAAGTAATAATATAATATAACGTGTTACTCTCTACAAAGTAATATTGCAAAGTAACGTGTTACTTTTGTTAAATGTAATGAGTAACAAGTGATCATACACTCACATTCAGTCACTTTACAACTCTAACTGGAGTATTTGCATTTCTGTGACAACCTCTATACTTACAGGTGAATTGTGGAATGATTGGAGGCGTGTCCTCGTCGAGGTCGTCCACCCCGCCCGCGATGGGGTAGGGGGGCACGGCAACGCGGGGCATGACCACCCAGCTGTGGTCGGAGTACAGGGTGGCGGTCAGGCTGGGCAGCCCAGAGTTGTGCACCAGGGGGAAGCCACACAGTTTCTCAATCTGCTGCCAGCGGTGGAGACGCTCCCTCAGGCAGGCCGTCACCTCCGACAGGGACTTCCTGGAACAATCAATCAATCAAATCAAATGTATTTATAAAGCCCACTTTATATCAGTAGTTATCACAAAGTGCTTTTACAGCCAACAGGCCTAGACCCGAAACAGCAAGCAAAAGCAGAAGCACATTGATTGGTAAGGAAAAACTCCCTAGAAGGAAGAAATCTAAAGAGGCACCCAGTTCAGATTGGAGGTCCAACCTCTTCTGGCTGTAACAGGTAAACAACTGTCTTTATCCAGACATTACACTTGGGTTTTTGTGCTTATACCACTAATGCATGGACAACAAGTTATTGTAATAGGTATTGATACCCTAGGTAGACTTCGACATATGTGGGGATCCTGCTCGTCTCGATCAGTAATCAATAGCTAGTAAATCCCCAAGTCTTTCACATCAATTCAGCTCATGGACAAAGACATATGAGAAAATACAATGTGGGTGAGAGTGCGTATTTGTCTATGCATGTGTGTGTCTGTTGTGTGAATGCGTGCGTGCATGTGTGTGTGTGTGTTATCCTACTTGGCCTCTAGGATCTTGTGGTCCACTTCATCCAGTGATGAACTGTGGGCGACGTGAAGTGTTCCAAACACAGAACTCCTCTTCTTTTTGATTTTCTCTGCCTGAAACCCATATGAAAAAATACTATAATATACTATGCTCTAAATACTGTAGTATTACTATATTTATGTAGTATAGTATTCACTGTAGTGTTTTTGCAGACATGCCTGTAGTATACTGTAATATTTACTGTAGTGTTTTTGGATATGACTGTAGTATACTATAGTATTCACTGTAGTGCTTTTGTGGGCATGACTGTAGTATACTGTAGTAAAGTTTATTATACTATAAATACTGTAGTATTACTATAGTATATACTATAGTAATTATTGCAGTGTTTTTGCAGATATTACTGTAGTATATAGTGTTTTTTGTTTTATTATCTTTGACATAAAAGTGGGGGCTTTCTCCTTGATGAAACCTTGATTTTTTTCCCCCCCATAACCTGTAAGACTGGGGACTGAATGGATAGTTCAGAGCTTCTGCTCTTTTCTATAACCTGTAGGGAACACAATATGTGGTCTATACTTGGCATGTAGGTTTCTCACTTGTGGGTGGCACACATTGAGGTATGGAGGATGAGAATGGGTGGAGCATATTCAAATTAAATAATGTAGTATTACTATAGTTTAAAAACATTGTGTTTTAGCTGACATTACTGTAGTATTTACTACAGTGTTTTTTTGCGGATAATACTGTAGTATTTAATGTAGTATAATACAGTGTACTACAAAATTCTATAGTAAGCACTACACTGTTGAGGGATACTACATAAAGTGTATAGTATAGTTTTCCACAGTATACTACAACATTCTACAGTAAGCACTACACATGATCGAGGGATACTAAAGTGTAGTATAGTATTCTATATTACAAACCGGGTAGTTTGGCTCTGGATGCTGATTGGCTGAAAGCTGTGGTATATTGCCCATATGCCACACCCCATCGGGCCTTATTGCTTAAGTGTACTACAGTTTACTACAGAATACTGTTTGTGGGAACAAAGAAATACACACTATATGACTATTCTATGGTAACACTATCATCACTGAATGCATATCATCCAATATTTGCTGTCTATATTACAATAAAACATCAGTGCCTTCTCTTTCCAAATTTCTGCCCAGTTTAGCTGTTGTTCATGAATAAATTAAACAATGCTACATCTCTTGCCAAGACCATAATCTGTTGGCTGGAGCAGAAACAGACTGGCATCCAGGCAATCCTACATGCACTAATATACATTACATGGCCAAAAGTATGTGGAGACACCTTCAAATTAGTGGCTTCGGCTATTTCAGCCACACCCGTTGCTGACAGGTGTATAAAATCAAGCACACAGCCATGCAATCTCCATAGACAAACATTGGCAGTAGAATGGCCTGTACTGAAGAGCTCAGTGACTTTCAACGTGGCACCGTCATAGTCAGTTTGTCAAATGTCTGCCTTGCTAGTAGAGCTGCCCCAGTCAACTGTAAATGCTGTTATTGTGAAGTGGAAATGTCTAGGAGCAACAATGGCTCAGCCGCAAAGTGGTAGGCCACACAAGCTCACAGAACGGAACCGCTGAAGTGCGTAGCGTGTAAAAATCATCTGTCCTCGGTTGCAACACTCACTACCGAGTTCCAAACGGCCTCTGTAAGCAATGTCAGCACAAGAACTGTTCGTCGGGAGCTTCATGAAATGGCTTTCCATGGCCGAGCAGTCGCACATAAGCCTAAGATCACCATGCGCAATGCCAAGTGTCGGCTGGAATGGTGTAAAGCTCCCTGTTATTGGACTCTGAAGCAGTGGAAACAGGTTCTCTGGAGTGATGAATCACGCTTCACCATCTGGCAGTTGGATGGACAAATCTGGGTTTGGTGGATGCCAGGAGAACACTACCTGCTCAAATGCATAGTCCCAACTGTAAAGTTTGGTGGAAGAGGAATAATGGTCTGGGGCTGTTTTTCATGGTTCGGGCTAGGCCCCTTAGTTCCAGTGAAGGGAAATATTAACGCTACAGTATTCAATGACATTCTAGACCATTCTGTGCTTCCAACTTTGTGGCAACAGTTTGGGGAAGGCCCTTTCCTGTTTCAGCATGACAATGCCCCCGTGCACAAAGCGAGGTCCATACAGAAATGGTTTGTCGGGATCGGTGTGGCAGAACTTGACTGGCCTGCACAGAGCCCTGACCTCAACACCATCGAACACCTTTGGGATGAATTGGTATGCTGACTGCGAGCCAGACCTAATCGCCCAACATCAGTGCCTGACCACACTAATGCTCTTGTTGCTGAATGGAAGTAAGTTCACGCAGCAATGTTCCAACATCTAGCGGAAAGCCTTCCCAGAAGAGTGGAGGCTGTTATAACAGCAAAGGGGGTACCAACTCCATATTAATACCCATGATTTTGGAATGAGATGTTCGACGAGCAGGTGTCCACATACCTTTGGCCATGTAGTGTACAATACGGTGTCCTACAGAGACTAGTTTTATCAATAAGTCCTCAAATTTGGCCAAGAGGTCAAATATGACCACATCTACTTTAATGAGAGCAACATATTGCTGTGCCTCAGTGTGTGCTTTCACAGCTTCGCAGTTAATTGACTTCTGGAATTGTCTGATGAGTCATTCTCACTGCAAGTTACAAAGGCAAAAACAAACAATGCAATTAAAAAGTAATTTAGCTGTATCATCCCCCCAAAAAAATTGGGGAATAAAGCTTTAATTTTGTTTCTGTGTGCATGTGTCTGTGCGTGTTTTCAGACATTTTCAATTACACAAGTGCAAAAGGCTTATTTCCATATTGCACCTTAAAATGTAACACTCAACTTATTTACAAATTCAAAACCTAATGAACCAACCCATTACATCCCCAAAAATCACCCTAAACCTGCTCCTACTTAAACTTGACACTGTCTCCTAGGAAGTGATGTCATTTGGTCTCCAGGAAGTTACCTCTTCCTTAGCGACAGTGAGCTGTAGCTCTGCGCTATGTTTCTTGATGTTGTAGTATTGGACCTCCACCTCGTGGGTGAGTTGTAGCCACATCTGTAGGGCCTCTGGCACCGACCACTCTGTCTGCATCTCCTTCTCCGCCCGCTTCAGGGCCATACGCACCTGGGGACAGGAGGGGGGGCACATTTAGGCGTCGCACACGCATGGAATAATATTAAAACATGGCATAAAAGTGTACTGTATTGTACATAAGTAGTCTCTCTAGAGAGACGGGTTGCCTCCCACATTGTAGCAATGTTCCGGCTTACATGTTTGTACGGATACAACGTCAGTTTAGCATAGAGGAACTACGTCACTGGCTATGTCACTGCCCTATCCGCTTGTTGCCCACGTAGCTAGCAAGATGGAGATCACAGAGGTTATTTTTAATGAGTGCATTTTGCAAGTGGCTAGTTTGCATCAACTACCTTTGTTAAAAACTCTGTTTTTAATTATTTGACTATGTCAATATGTCTCTGTTGTAAATGTTTTGTGGCCAAACTGGTGGCAGTTGTGAAGAAGTCATTAGTTATGTACAATAATACTACTTATGTACAATAATACTGTGTGAATTTAAGTATGCTCTCTCTAATTCTCTCGTTCTCTCTTTCTCTCTGAGAACCTGAGCCCTAGGACCATACGTCAGGACTACCGGGCATGATGACACCCTGCTGCCCCCAGTCCGCCTGGCCTTGCTGCTATTCCAGTTTCAACTGTTCTGCCTGCGGCTACGAAACCCCTACCTGTCCCAGACCTGCTGTTTTCAACTCTAAATGATCGGCTATGAAAAGCCAACTGAGAGACCTGAGCCCTAGGACCATACGTCGGGACTACCGGCCGTGGTGACTCCTTGCTATCCCCAGTCCGCCTGGCCTTGCTGCTATTCCAGTTTAAACTGTTCTGCCTGCGGTTATGGAACCCCTACCTGTCCCAGACCTGCTGTTTTAAACTCTAATGATCGGCTATGAAAAGCCAACTGAGATTTATTCCTGATTATTATTTGACCATGCTTGTCACTTATGAACATTTTTGAACATCTTGGCATGGTTCTGTTATAATCTCCACCCGGCACAGCCAGAAGAGGACTGGCCACCCCTCATAGCCTGGTTCCTCTCTAGGTTTCTTCCTAGGTTTTGCCTTTCTAGGGAGTTTTTCCTAGCCACCGTGCTTCTACACCTGCATTACTAGCTGTTTGGGGTTTTAGGCTGGGTTTCTGTACAGCACTTCGAGATATTAGCTGATGTAAGAAGGGCTATATAAAATAAAATTGATTGATTGATTGATTAGTTGGAGGAGTTAATTGCAAATTATGTCATTGTTGATTCAAGTCTTTTTTCATGAATTATTCTATTTGCTCGTGAACCATATGGTCTATCCACTAGAAACTCATGGAAAATATGGACACAGATATAATATTAAGAAAAAAAACATATTTTATATGATGAAAATAAAATAAACTTAAAATAATTAAAGTATAAATTACCAAAGTTTCCATAAATTACATATTACTTACCAAAATTGCTGACAATTCTGGTAACTTTGGTAAATTACTGGTAGTTTTTCTACCTTAATGATGTGCAACACACTCTCCATGGTTCCTACCTGCACCAGCTCCTCCTCAGCATATTTGAGGCGGCTGAGCTCACATTCTGCCCCCTGGCGGAGCTCACGGAGGCGGTACGACTCCTTCTTGGCCCCACTGATCTCATCCCTCATCTTCTGCTCCAGGTTCTGCTTCTCCACCGCCACCGTGCGGTTCTCCTCCTGGGCCTTTTCGAGGCTGGAGGGGGTTGAGAGAGAGACAGAGAGAGAGACAGGGTTAGAACCTATTATATAACATGATCACTTAAAGTTAAATTAATTTAACTTAATTAATAATTCTTCAGACTTCATACCATACACCAAACATACAACATCAGAGCCAATAGACAGCTAAACCCTGTGTATGCCATTTGTAAATCATCTTTAAAACAATTGTAAACCAACTAAAAACCATAATTAAACACCTTTTACAAACCATTCATAAACAGCATCAGGCTACATACCGTCCCTGAAGGTCCATGAGGCTCTGCTCAGCACTCTGCAGGCTCTCCAAGTCCTTCATCATCTGACCCATGTGCACCTTGGAAGACTTGTTCTGGATGTAGGCGAACCAGCAGCCCCCTATCCCGATCACTATAGATACCATCAACACAAAGTCCTTCATCCAGTTGTGTTGTGGACCTGAGGGGGGAGAGTGAGTGAGTGAGGAAATACCCTGTGCAAGGTACATCATCCTACGTCATACTTCCAGGGCCATGTCCCGGGTCTTTTGAATGAGCTCCAAGATTATTGTTAAATTCATGAAAGTTGCTACATCATTTTTTAAAAACGTATTAATGTATAATACACTACTGTTCAAAAGTTTGGGGTCACTTAGAAATGTCCTTGTTTTCGAAAGAAAAGCAAAAAATTTTGTCCATTAAAATAACATCAAATTGATCAGAAATACAGTGTAGACATTGTTAATGTTGTAAATGGCTATTGTAGCTGGAAACGGCTGATTTTTTTATGGAATATCTACATAGGCGTACAGAGGCCCATTATCAGGAACCATCAGTCCTGTGTTCCAATGGCACGTTGTGTTTGCTAATCCAAGTTTATCATTTTTAAAAGGCTAATTGATCATTTAGAAAACCCTTCTGCAATTATGTTAGCACAGCTGAAAACTGTTGTGCTGATTAAAGAAGCAATAAAACTGGTCTTCTTGAGACTAGTTGAGTATTTGGAGCATCAGCAATTTTATGTTATTGTAATGGACAAAAAAATAGTTTTTCTTTCGAAAACAAGGACATTTCTAAATGACAAAGCGAAAACAGGTTTTTAGAAATTTAGCAAATTTACAAAAAAATTTACAGAAATATCTTATTTACATACACTACGTATGTAAATAAGATATTTCTGTTAAATTTTCTGTAAATTTGCTAAATTTCTAAAAACCTGTTTTCGCTTTGTCATTATGAGTTATTATGTGTAGATTGATGAGGAAAATAATGTAATCCATTTTAGGATAAGGCTGTAACGTAACAAAATGTGGAAAAAGGTTGTCTGAATACTTTCCGAATGCATACAATTATATTCGTATTTGTGTATTGATTTACTCATACCCGATGCCTTTTATCAAAATATTTGACACTCAAGAAGTAAGACACGTTAGAAATGTCTAATTTGAACTACATTTCCTGTAGTGTTGTTAGCATGCTGGAGCATTCCTGCTCGAGTTGAGGACTTAGTTACTGGCCATTTGATGTATATTATATTTGATTACACAGGTTTTTTTTTCTACTGAACATTGCCAACCAGTTCTTTATGAAAATGCACAAAAAAATGTTTTTGTAGACCGGCAAGTTGTCGAAAGATTTGTAGTTCATGTGTGTAGTTCTAATGAAACGATTGTAACTATTCGGCTTTGTGCTTCTTTTTGGGTGACAAATACATTGAAAACCGGCATAGGGTAAGTACATTCATACGAAAACACATACAGTGCCTTCAGAAAGTATTCACACACCTTGACTTTTTACACATTTGGTTGTGTTACAGCCTCAATTTAAAATTAGATTTCTTGTCACTGGCCTACACACAATACCACAATGTCAAAGTGGAATTATGTTTTTAGAAATGTTTACAAATTAATTGAAAATGTAAAGCTGAAATATCTTGAGTCAATTAGTATTCAACCCCTTTGTTATGGCAAGCCTAAATAAGTTCAGAAGTAAACATTTGCTTAACAAGTCACATAATAAGTTGCATGGACTCACTCTGTGTGAAATAATAGGGTTTAACATGATTTTTGAATGACTACCTAATCTCTGTATCCCACTCATACAATTATCTGTAAGGTCCCTTAGTCAAAGCAGTGAATTTTCAAACACAGATTCAACCACAAAGACCAGGGAGGTTTTCCAATGCCGACATTGAATAACCATTTGAGCATGTTGAAGTTATTCATTACACTTTGGATGGTGTATTAAATACACCCAGTCACTAAAAAGATACAGGCGTCCTTACTAATTCAGTTGCCAGAGAGGAAGGAAACCGCTCAGGGATTTCATCATGAGGCCAATGGTGACTTTAAAACAGTTACAGAGTTTAATGACTGTGATAGGAGATAACTGAGGATGGGCTGAACAACATTGCAGTTACTCCACAACACTAACCTAATTGACAGATTGAAAAGAAGGAAGCCTGTACAGAATACAAATATTCCAAAACATGCATTCTGTTTTCAAAAAGGCACTAAAGTAATACTGCAAAAAAAAATGCCAAAGCAATTCACTTTCTGTCCTGAATACAATTGTTATGTTTGGAGCGAAGCACAGTCAAAATCCTACAGGAAAACCTGGTTCAGTCTGCTTTCCATCAGACACTGGGAGATTAATTCACCTTTCAGCAGGACAATAACCTAAAACACAAGGCCAAATATACACAGGAGTTGCTTACCAAGAAGACAGTGAATGTTCCTGAGTGGCCTAGTTACAGTTTTGACTTAAATATGCTTGAACATCGATGGCAAGACTTAAATGGTTGTCGACCATTGAGCTTGAAGAATTTTGAAAATAATAATGGGCAGATATTGTACAATCCAGGTGTGCAAAGCTCTTAAAGACTTACCCAGAAAGATTCACAGCTTTAATCACTGCCAAAGGTGATTCTAGCATGCCTTGACTCAGGGGTGTGAATACTTATGTAAATTAGATATTTCTATTTCATTTTCAATACATTTGCAAACATTTCTAAGACCATATTTTTACTTTGTCATTATGGGGTATTGTGTGTAGACGGGTGAGATTATTATTATTATGTTTAATCCATTTTGAATTCAGGCTGTAACACAACAAAATGTAGAATAAGTCAAGGGGTATGAATACCTTCTGAAGGAACTGTATATATTTTTTAATCAAAATGTAGTCTATAAAGTTATTTAGAATGGCATATTATATTAATTTGCCATTCAAGGTGAAAGATTTGAATGAAATATAGACCTACTACTTCTATATTCTCATACTCAAATAAGTATTTTTACATTCATCATCAGCCTTATGGTTTCCAATGTTCGTGATAGGTCAACATTTCATCGGGGGCAGGAATAGAGAATCTAGACCAGTTGTCTGGCATCATAATCACTTGGCACAGTAACAACGAGAGATCAACTGATCTGCTGGTTTAACCTTGTGGGTTTTTCGTTGCAATCAAGCTTAGTTTATCCCGCAGGTGCATATAATCTCCAGTCTGTAGCATTTTAAGAAATCCAGCAATAACCTGCAGGAGCAGGTTAAGTTCTGCCTGTTCATTGCAATCGAGCCAGTGCATTTAGCAAAAAAACTGATTTCATACACATCTAAAATCTATGAATTAAAAATCTGAGAATAGTAATATTTTAAACACATGAAGGTACCCATAAGCAATCATTTCCGATGAAAAAACACGTGAAACATTGGTGGATATAGCATTTTGGAAATAAACTATTCACTTGTTCATCATTTCCTTGATGTTTGATAAATACTGTTGCCAAACAGACACACATACATACTTACGTAAGGGAGGGCCGAAGAGCACAGCGTCTAGTGCTTTTAGATTTAGCTTCTGTTTGTGCCGCTGGTCTAATATCTTTAGCTGACCTGACATAAACGACGGTTCGTTCGCCGCTAATCTGAAATAGAGAGAGAAAGAATGGATTGGTGAGGGTTGGGAATGTTTTCACAAGAACTATACTCTATTTGTTTGAGAACTTGTTCAACCATGCATACATACATGTCCAAGTAAGCAAACGTGTGTGTTTCTGTATCTCGTATCATGTGTTAAATGGCCATTGGTGTGTGTGTGTGTGTGTGTGTGTCAGAACGTGCCTGTGTACTCGTGTCACCACCACCATCTTAAACTGGATCAGACAACATGGCAGCCAACGACACCTGATCCACTGCTGTGACATCATTTCATGAGTCAGTGCCCGCAGGTACGGGGAGGTAACACAACACCCCTGACCCCCTAGACGCCCCCCCTCCCATCCCCCTCAACTCCCTTCCACCCTCCTCTATCCCCCCTCCCACTCTATTCTTTTCATGTACTCATTCTATACATACGTCCAGCTAGCAGTGAATCTCATTCCTAAAGAGCTTCTAATATAACCTCTCTAACTCATATTGATGACATCTAAATAGGTGGTTTCAAGTTCGGGGTCATGATAAAAACTGGGGTGTAAGTACACTAAATTGCACTAATGTGACTACATGGGTAGGGAGATTTTGTGTCAGTCGAAGCGGGAATATGGTGTGTGTGTGTGTGTGCGTGCATGTGTTTGAGCGTGCCTTTGTGCGTGTGTCTCTGTCACGTTTGTTAGTTTCTTTCCCATTCCACCTGCACTACCTCACATATCCAGCAGTCAGCAGCGTTGGTCTGAGTAGCATTGCGCGTGCACATTTGTTTTGTGGCTCTTATCATAGAATTACATATAGAATCACTTAATTTAGTATGATCTCCATGGGCCTAGTAGACATAGTAAAGATTTGGCATATAACTTTTATAATTGTTTCATGTATTACCTTTTCATGTGGCATAAACACAACCAGTCGATGTTTTCATCGGATTGTCAAACAATCACTTTAAAAGGCACTCCTGTTGGCTACCCGTGCACATTTGTCCACTCACAAAATAACTGTGCACCCACAATTTGATGAATGTAAAGAGACATCTGTTACAAAACAACTAAAAGTGTTATGACATTCTGCGATTGTCATTAGGCCCACTACAAGTTTCAAGTTTTATTAGTCGTATGTACGGGATACAAATGGTATACATTGTCCAACGAAATGCTTACTTGCAGGTTCCTTCTCGACAATACAACAACAATAAGAAATAATAAGAATATGAAGAGAAAGTAAATGGCTTTGTAGAATTTATGCGTCCACTGCTGTACTCGTGCGTCTCGATCTGGGCCACTTATCTCTGCCTTGGCAAAATGTTAGTGTTCTCCTCGAACCTCAACTCAATTTGGAGGGTATACTGAGGTGTACTCTATTTGTAGTGTGATAAAGTGCTCACCGAGGCAGAGTGTTTCCGTTGATCCGGAAGTCTCTGAAGTTCCTCTCATACTGAGGCAGCTCCACCGACTCCTTAAGCCACTGGACTGTGTCCTCCGTCGTCCAGTTATGAACTACAGAGAGAGAGCGAGAGGGAGAGGGAGAGAGAGAGAGAGAGCTGCATTTCCGGACAAAATGTAAAAAATATAAAACAATTAGTGTCATTCCCCAAATTTGAAACCCTTATTCAAGATTTCAAAGACCTCTCTGATGAGAATAGGCTACCCGTCCTGTTGGGGGAGGACGCAGAGAGCTGTGGGTTGGCAGCCCACTATATTGCTGCCTTGCATCAAATGAGGGACAGTGTCTGACAGACCAACCAACCTGCACATGTCCTCTATGCCATTGTTATTGTTATTGTTCAATGTATGGTTATTTTGACCCTTGATTATTGTTGTTACTGTTGTCCCTTTGACAATATTGATTATTCTAATTATGTTAATACTGTGGATCTCCAAAGTACGCTTTGGCAAAATGTACATTGTTTCATCATGCCAATAAAGCGAATTGAAATGAGAGAGACAGAGAGAGAATGTCAGTTACACCATGTCCTTCCATTTAACATTTGTCTTCCCTACCTACCTCCAGTATCCCAATCCCTACTTCCCTCCCTCTCTCGCCTCCTCCCTTCCTCTTTCTAACCCTCCCTCCATCATTCTGTCCTTCCATTTCTCTCCTACCTTCAGAGGCTTTCCATCCCTTCCACAGCTCTTCCACAGTGATGTGTTGGTCTTCTCTGTGCAGGTTACTGTGTTTGTTGGTTTGTTGTTGCTTCATATCTTCTCTAATAAACTGCAAGAAGAAAAACACATTTAGTTATTATTACCGGTTATCCCATGCAGTGTATATATAGCATTGTATTGTTATAGACTGCAATCAAATTGACACAGTTAACATCGACTAAATTAAGTTAAATGCAGGATGGGAGTTACAGTGAGGGAAAAAAGTATGTGATCCCCAGCTGATTTTGTACGTTTGCCCACTGACAAAGAAATGATCAGTCTATCATTTTAATGGTAGGTTTATTTGAACAGTGAGAGACAGAATAACAACAAAAAAATCCAGAAAAACGCATGTCAAAAATGCTATAAATTAATTTGCATTTTAATTAGGGAAATAAGTATTTGACCCCCTCTCAATCAGAAAGATTTCTGGCTCCCAGGTGTCTTTTATACAGGTAACGAGCTGAGATTAGGAGCACACTCTTAAAGGGAGTGCTCCTAATCTCAATTTGTTACCTGTATAAAAGACACCTGTCCACAGAAGCAATCAATCAATCAGATTCCAAACTCTCCACCATGGCCAATACCAAAGAGCTCTCCAAGGATGTCAGGGACAAGATTGTAGACAAGGCTACAAGACCATGGCCAAGCAGGTTGGTGAGAAGGTGACAACAGTTGGTTCGATTATTCGCAAATGGAAGAAACACAAAATAACTGTCAATCTCCCTCGGCCTGGGGCTCCATGCAAAATCTCACCTTGTGGAGTTAGAATAATCATGAGAACGGTGAGGAATCAGCCCAGAACTACACGGAGGATCTTGTCAATGATCTCAAGGCAGCTGGGACCATAGTCACCAAGAAAACAATTGGTAACACACTACGCCGTGAAGGACTGAAATCCTGCAGCGCCCGCAAAGTCTCCCTGCTCAAGAAAGCACATATACAGGCCCATCTGAAGTTTGCCAATGAACATCTGAATGATTCAGAGGAGAACTGGGTGAAAGTGTTGTGGTCAGATGAGACCAAAATCAAGCTCTTTGGCATCAACTCAACTCGCCGTGTTTGGAGGAGGAGGAATGCTGCCTATGACCCCAAGAACACCATCCCCACCGTCAAACATGGAGGTGGAAACATTATGCTTTGGGGGTGTTTTTCTGCTAAGGGGACATGACAACTTCACCGCATCAAAGGGACGATGGACGGGGCCTTGTACCGTCAAATCTTGGGTGAGAACCTCCTTCCCTCAGCCAGGGCATTGAAAATGGGTCGTGGATGGGTATTCCAGCATGACAATGACCCAAAACACACGGCCAAGGCAACAAAGGAGTGGCTCAAGAAGAAGCACATTAAGGTCCTGGAGTGGCCTAGCCAGTCTCCAGGCCTTAATCCCATAGAAAATCCGTGGAGGGAGCTGAAGGTTCGAGTTGCCAAACGTCAGCCTCGAAACCTTAATGACTTGGAGAAGATTTGCAAAGAGGAGTGGGACAAAATCCCTCCTGAGATGTGTGCAAACCTGGTGGCCAACTACTAGAAACGTCTGACCTCTGTGATTGCCAACAAGGGTTTTGCCACCAAGTACTAAGTCATGTTTTGCAGAGGGGTCAAATACTTATTTCCCTCATTAAAATGCAAATCTAAATTTTTGACATGCGTTTTTCTGGATATTTTTGTTGTTATTCTGTCTCTCACTGTTAAAATAAACCTACCATTAGAATTATAGACTGATCATTTCTTTGTCAGTTGGCAAACGTACAAAATCAGCAGGGGATCAAATACTTTTTTCCCTCACTGTATGACATTGCAGAGAACCCTGAACAACACCAGACATGACTTTCAGTGTAATGTTAGATCTAGTCGTTGTCTTTCTATGGTCAGGCTACAGGTATTGTTGTGACAATGATGTTTGAGAAGTCTGGACCCAGTCACAGCCCACAGGGCAAACTCCACAACACACATTCACTCTTTTCTTCCTTTTTAGGAGAGGGAGGGAGGGAACACACAGGGTCTGGTTTGAATGAATAAAGACAGGTCTATTGCTGCAAGACACAGCAGATCTAGAATCAGTTCACAGAGTGACCGGTCTGATATGAATGAATAGAGACAGGCCTGCTACAAGTGATCCTAGAAATACTGAGTCATTGTAGCAACTATGAAACTAATTGAATGCAGTAAGGCGGTGGGGATTTGCATATAGTGATAATCACCACCAACATATGACACACATACAAAATAAACAGAAATGTTGACATATGTTTTTGCATTGGCCAGTTATAGGCCAATCAACCATAAACAAAGGATATAAAGGCTAGAGATAGGCTAAATGATGTGGTTATAAACCATAAAGGTTATCTTGAAGGAATAGCTCAATGTGGTTCTCTGTGTGGGTTATGTGGGTTGGACTGTCTATAGTATTAATTGCTGTTATATCTTGTGGTCTTGCTGTGTGTTGCGATAAGTTACTGGAAGGCAATATTTAATATGCTGAGAAGAAAGAAAGTATTAATGTTTCTACAGAGGGCTCTATGGAACCCAAAAGGGTTCTACAAACTTTGGTTCCTACTGTGTCACAACCATCATCTCCATTACTTTTTCATTCGTTGTCATGCCAAACAAAACTGCATTCCAAATGCCATCTGTATTCCAACCATAAAATTAGAATGATCAGTCTATTACTATGATCCCAACAGTTTACCCAAGTGTTTTGATATATAATCGTAAGTAAAATCACAATATTTGGTACAAAAATCAGTTAGATTTTTTGCCCTTTGTTGTGCAGCCCTTTGTATTTTAAATAATATTTTACCCCTTTTTCTCTCCAATTTCAATCTTGTCTCATCGCTTCAACTCCCCAACGGGCTCGGGAGGCGAAGGTCGAGTCATGCGTCCTCAGAAACATAACCCGCCAAACCGCGCTTCTCAACACCGCCCGCTTAACCCGGAAGCCAGCCGCACCAATGTGTCGGAGGAAACACCGTTCAACTGACGACCGAGGTCAGCCTGCAGGCACCCGGCCCGCCACAAATCAAATCAAATTGTATTTGCCACATGCGCCGAATACAACAGGTATAGACATTACCGTTAAATGCTTACTTACAGCCCTTAACCAACAATGCATTTATTTTTTAATAAAAAGTAAAATAAAACAACAACAAAAAAGTGTTGAGAAAAAAAAGAGCAGAAGTAAAATAAAATAACAGTAGGGAGGCTATATACAGGGGGGTACCGGTGCAGAGTCAATGTGCGGGGGCACCGGCTAGTAGAGGTAGTTGAGGTAATATGTACATGTGGGTAGAGTTAAAGTGACTATGCATAAATAATTAACAGAGTAGCAGCAGCGTAAAAAGATGGGGTGGGGGGGCAGTGCAAATAGTCTGAGTAGCCATGATTAGCTGTTCAGGAGTCTTATGGCTTGGGGGTAGAAGCTGTTGAGAAGCCTTTTGGACCTAGACTTGGTGCTCCAGTACCGCTTGCCATGCGGTAGCAGAGAGAACAGTCTATGACTAGGGTGGCTGGAGTCTTTGACAATTTTGAGGGCCTTCATTTGATACCGCCTGGTATAGAGGTCCTGGATGGCAGGAAGCTTGGCCCCAGTGATGTACTGGGCCGTACGCACTACCCTCTGTAGTGCCTTGCGGTCGGAGGCCGAGCAGTTACCATACCAGGCGGTGACGCAACCAGTCAGGATGCTCTCGATGGTGCAGCTGTATAACTTTTTGAGGATCTGAGGACCCATGCCAAATGTTTTCAGTCTCCTGAGGGGGAATAGGCTTTGTCGTGCGCTCTTCACGACTGTCTTGGTGTGTTTGGACCATGATAGTTTGTTGGTGATGTGGACACGAAGGAACTTGAAGCTCTCAACCTGTTCCACTACAGCCCGTCGATGAGAATGGGGACGTGCTCAGTCCTTTTTTTTCCCCCTGTAGTCGACAATCATCTCCTTTGTCTTGATCACGTTGAGGGAGAGGTTGTTATCCTGGCACCACACGGCCAGGTCTCTGACCTCCTCCCTATAGGCTGTCTCATCATTGTCGGTGATCAGGCCTACCACTGTTGTGTCGTCGGCAAACTTAATGATGGTGTTTGAGTCATACCTGGCCATGCAGTCATGGGTGAACAGGGAGTACAGGAGGGGACTGAGCACACACCCCTGCGGGGCCCCCGTGTTGAGGATCAGCGTGGCAGATGTGTTGTTACCTACCCTTACCACCTGTGGGCAGCCCGTCAGGAAGTCCAGGATCCAGTTGCAGAGGGAGGTGTTTAGTCCCAGGATCCTTAGCTTAGTGATGAGCTTTGAGGGCACTATGGTGTTGAACGCTGAGCTGTAGTCAATGAATAGCATTCTCACGTAGGTGTTCCTCTTGTCCAGGTGGGAAAGGGCAGTGTGGAGTGCAATAGAGACTGCATCATCTGTGGATCTGTTGGGGCGGTATGCAAATTAGAGTGGGTCTAGGGTTTCTGGGATAATGGTGTTGATGTGAGCCATGACCAGCCTTTCAAAGCACTTCATGGCTACAGACGTGAGTGCTATGGGTCGGTAGTCATTTAGGCAGGTTACCTTAGAGTCCTTGGGCACAGGGACTATGGTGGTCTGCTTGAAACATGTTGGTATTACAGACTCAGTCAGGGACATGTTGAAAATGTCAGCGAAGACACTTGCCAGTTTGGTCAGCACATTCTCGGAGTACACGTCCTGGTAATCCATCTGGCCTTGCGGCCTTGTGAATGTTGACCTGCTTAAAAGTCTTACTCACATCGGCTACGGAGAGCGTGATCACATAGTCATCCGGAACAGCTGGTGCTCTCATGCATGCTTCAGTGTTGCTTGCCTCGAAGCGAGTGATTTAGCTCGTCTGGTAGGCTTGTGTCACTGGGCAGCTCGCGGCTGTGCTTCCCTTTGTAGTCTGTAATAGTTTTCAAGCCCTGCCACATCCGACGAGCGTCAGAGCCAGTGTAGTACGATTCAATCTTAGTCCTGTATTGACTCTTTGCCTGTTTGATGGTTCGTTGGAGGGCATAGCGGGATTTCTTATAAGCGTCCGGGTTAGAGTCCCGCTCCTTGAAAGCGGCAGCTCTAGCCTTTAGCTCAGTGCGGATGTTGCCTGTAATCCATGGCTTCTGGTTGGGGTATGTACGTACGGTCACTGTGGGGACGACGTCGATGCACTTATTGATGAAGCCAGTGACTGATGTGGTGTACTCCTCAATGCTATCTGAAGAATCCCGGAACATATTCCAGTTTGTGCTAGCAAAACAGCCCTGTAGCTTAGCATCTGCGTCATCTGACCACTTTTGTACAGAGATAAAATGACGAAGGAAGACATTCAGACACGTAAATACATCCATGACTTCTTCTCCAAATAGGCGGCGGTTAGGGTGCAAATTATTATGATTACCGTGAGCGTAGTGTTGTGGTTCTCTTTCTCTCTTTTTACTCCTCCATCTTTCGGTGAACAAGCAGTCATGTGTTAGTCCACTAGGGACCTGTTTCCATTGTATTAAGTTTCTAATCAATAACCTAACTAACCCGTGTATGTGTGTGTGTGTGTATCCTGTGTAATCATTTAGTTACTTAGTAAATAAATAATTAAACCAATTTGTGTGGTACGGAATGATCAGTAAGGCTGGGGTTTGTGCGTATGCAAGGACTATGCGACGTTCAGAATTATTTGTTATGAGGTAATGACTAAGTGACTGTTATTGACATAAGAGATATCTATATATCTTCTGGAGTTAATTCGGGAGATGGTAACTTGTTAAACAAATTATCCTGTGGTGCCCCAAATCCTAATGAGTTAATTATTACATGATTAATTTAATCAGGTAACAATTAAACATAGTTAGTTAATTAGAGAAATAAGTCATCCGATTAATGTTAAGTCACGTCATGACACTGTGTTCAGAGGTGATAAGTACAGTCGGCAGGCAAACATTTGACAATCCTACCGGTGTGTCTGAGCTAGAACAAACAATATTATTGATCCAGTTCAGTTGAAGTGTTTTTCCTCGCAAACACATTGATAAATGTCATAAGTGGACGTTTATTTGTTAACAAACACATTGACAAATTGCACAACTTCCGTTTGTTTGCTATTGATGTTATCCAATTGGCATTTTTGAAAATAAGTAATTTGGTAGCTAAGTCACCTGACATATGACCAGGACATTATCATCTCACACGGACAGGAGGATAATACACACGCACACACGCACACACGCACACACAGTATACCGTAAACAAAGGGCTTGTTATCGGAGGTAGATTCCAGATGGGTCAAATGAGTCTTCCCATGAGCCTCTCCTGCCCTTTCTAACAACTTACTGTAACTCACTACTGATACAGTATCTACTGAACCTTCTTATACAACCGTCTTTCTCTTCATCTGTCTGTCTCTATCCATCTCTCGCTCCATCCATCTCACTCTCTCTTTTTGTCTCTATCCATCCATCTCTCTCTTTCTTCATCTCTTTCCCTCCCTCCCTCCCTCAAACTCCATCTGTTTTATGATCACAGACCCCCTCTTTCTGTCTCTTTCTTCCTCTGTTTTTGTCTCAGTCTATGTTGTTCAGTCTGTCAGTCACCATGACAGAAGACAACCAATGATCATAAACTCAATCATGTCTGTAAATTGAAAAGTTTGCCAATATCTTAATATTGCTCTTGACCAAGTCATTCAGAATTATAACTGAAAACCACTTTTTACACTAACGCCGTAGGGTAGTAAATGGGTTTTGAAATAATAGATTAATTCATTAAGATATGATTGAAGACATTGTGCAAAATAATATATATATTTGGTTTGCTTGGATGGGTCACTGACTATCTGTGTCTTGTGTTCAACTACTTGTGTTCAGACATCTCCAGATAATGGAGGGAAATGGGCTTACACACACAAACACACACACTAGCACGCATTGCATACACATGCGCGCGCACACACACAGAGATCAGCAGTGGTCTCAAAGAAGACATTGCCTGGACCTTCGGATCTGATTCCAAGTGATGGGGGTAAAATATTTGGACTGTCTTTGGGTCGGGGAGCACTTCTCTCTCTCCACCAGCAGCCAATCTACTGGGAAACTTAAACACTGTCAACCTTCTAGAACCTTTCAAGGCTTTCACTTTTCTATAGATAGGGCCTGCTCTGCTCTCCTCAAGACATCTGTGTTCATATAGACACGTACGCACACACCTGTGTTTTCTCAAGATGTCAACTGTGACCCATCAAGGGCTAATCGAGTACTGCAACTCTCTCTTCTCAGGCATGCACACACACCCCTTTCTGTGTGACGTGAATTCTGTTCTTGCTATTTCAAAGAGATGGAACCTGATCTTGTAAAGTGTCTCCTTAGCAGATAGAAGAGCCACAGCCAATGAGTGCAGCGCAGCTGCCGTTCCTGGCGTCCGACCGACCTCACCTCTGCAACAGGCCTCAGCACACCACTAAACCCCTCCGCCTCCCCTCCTTCTCTCCATATTCTAATCCACCAAGGTGTAAACCCCACTGAAGAACTGAAGACATGCCGTGCTAATCAAAAACATGTATATTCTGATCATTAAAAATGTATTTTTGTTTTATATAGTTATGTTATACTCTTCTTAAAACCTTGTCTGTTTATTAAGTTTTACAGACACCACAGCATAGCAACTTGGTTTCTTATTATATAGTACCAAGGTGAAATGAGTGAGTTACTTTCCAAAACACCTTGAAGGCGACAAAGAGGGGGGGGCTTTTTAGACCCCGTCTGAGTGTGTGTTGAAGGGCTGGGTGGGACAGGGGGTGGGGGGTGGGGGGCTAGTGTGTTAGCGGTGTGTGTGTGTGTTTTTAGGAGGTCTGAATATCTAGCCATGGATCCTCTAGTTGTGACCAATGCCACAAGTCAGCATCTCGCCAAGCTGTCTTTCAATAAATTATGCCCTTGTGTGTGCATGTGTGTGCGTGCGCATGTGTGTGTGTTTGTGTCTGAGAGAGCACGCATAATTATATAAATAATCCAAGTCAATAAAATTGTGAATCTACCTGAATACAACTTTGCTGACTGAGGCCCAACTCTTCCTCAGTCAAACAGGCAATCGTAGACAGTAGCCCTATACTATAACCTTCTCACTACTGCCACTGGTGATATTGTCACCGTATATCTCTCCCCTTTCTCTCTATGTGACAACATGGCCACTCGTCATCTTTATGTACTGGAATGGTCAAAGAATCTCAGAAATGCACGTTATGAAAAACTGAATATTACTCAGTGATATAACATTACGATGACCTCCAGGACCAGCGTCTCAGGTGTTGGGGAGTGGGGGGGGGAGATTCCGAGGTGGGCAAAGTGTGTGTGTGTGTGTGTAGAGAGGAAATGCTGGTGGTGTCACTGTCACATTGTGGGGGGTTGGTGTTGGGAGGTGAGGGGGTTTTGGGGTTTGTAAGGTTTTCTGGGCCAGATGTTGGTTACAGGGGGTGAGGACGTCCCCAAATTGACCTTTCCCCAACCCTCATCACCTCACCTGCCACTATCCACAGCACCGTCACCCCCATCACTGTCATTGTCAACCCTGTTACCTCACCACTGCCAGGAAGAGGGATGGAGGTTACAGTCATGACAGTAACCAATGAGTCATAAAGGAGTTTAACTCTGAGGTCACACATGGACTATTCTCGTCACACTGCTTGGGCTATTAATTAAAAACAGACTCAATTTAATCAAAAACATAAAGTCAGTCAAACTTCGTCCATTAAAAAATGTAACACTTTCCTGACAAAATCCCCAAAAGGCATTTAATCATTTCTTCAATAATGAAAGAAGCAAACACATTTTGACAAACAAGTTCTGGGAAAGGTCTATATAATTGTGTGAACTTTCAAAGACTGTTCTGCTATTGATACAGCATGATATAAGAGAAAAGAGCAGGGACAGTCACGTGGGTCTGAGCGTGTAAATCCAATATGCAACAATGTCCCGGTGAATAGTCACATACTCCAGGGTCAAGTTTCCCCTGGGTACTGATCTAGGATCAGCTCCAACAGTACTCTTAAGGGCTTCAAATCTGATCTGAGAACAGCTCAAGGCTTGGCAAAATGGGCAACGCTTTGCCTTCTTGCACTCCAGAAGAGAAGAGCTCCTAAATCATTCTGGTGACCCCCGCCGCAAAGAACAACTTTTTTTTTTTTTTTCGCAGCTTCTCTTTGCCCTTATAAGGTCGAAGGGCAGAATCTTGCTCCGTCATCCCCCGTCACACACATGCATGGACACACAAACACAAATGTGTACACACACACACACACACACACAATAGATGTATGTGTACATATACTCGCAAGCACACACACACACATACGTATGTACGTACACACATACTCTGATTCTCTCTCACACACTCACACATACATACATACATACATACATACATACATACACACACACACACACACACACACACACACACACACACACACACACACACACACACACACACACACACACACACACACACACACACACACACACACACACACACACACACACACAAACACAAACACACGTCCTCGGACGGGGGCCAGCTCCAACACCTCTGCTCTTAGGGGCCTTAAACGGGCCCGTAAACAGCCGGCCACCGGCTCTTCTGAGACGCACCCTGGGCCAAGGGCGATGGTATAACAGTTTCTCACACTGCAGCTCTACGAGTTAAAAATGACTCCTGGCGCACACACAGAGAGAGAATCTGACCCAAGGCCGAGTGCAGTCAGAATTCAGTTTTTCCTGTGTTTTGTATCATATTGTACAACATCTGATGAAACTAACACTGTAAAAGTGGGAATATTCACATGAAAATGTGTCGCCAAATGGATAGAAACCTAGCTAGTAAGGTACTTAACTGTAACCAATAAATTATTTTATATTGATATAAAATGGCTGCATCGGGCCTTTAAACTAAGGGGGCGTTGATTATGATAGGGTACAGATCAGAGCAGGTCAGGTCTTACTGTCAAACACACTGAAAAAGGCCTACCATATTCTCATTCTCTCTTTTTTCTATCTCTCCCTCTCTTCTCTCCACTATCTCCCCACTAGCTTCCTAAGCTGATTAATGGCTTGTAAACATTTTACCATGAGTTTATAGGGTTGTTTATGAGACTAAGGCCCAGTTCAATTCAACCCAAAAGCCACAAAGCATTCCACCTTTAAAGATGCCTACTCGAAAGAATACTAACAGAAACAGAAATAACTTTGTAACGGAAATGACCAGGTAACAGAAATGACTTGGCAATGGTAACAGAAAGGACTTGGTAACAGAAGTGACTTGGTAACAGTGATGACTTGAAAAATGACCAAGTAACACACATGATTTGGTGACACAAACAACTTGGTAACAGAAATGACCAGGTAACAGAGATGACCAGATCATTACATAGACTAATACTGTATTAGTATTACGCACCTCTACACTCTCATTGACCTCAATCCCCCCGTCATTGTCGTCGTCCAGCTGTTTGTGAATGACCCGGAGGGCCTCCAGGCTGAAGCGGTCTGCATCACCCATGCATGGTGGCATCACCGTCAGACAAGGGTCTGAAGGAAGAGAGAGCGTTCAAAGGTCAAACTCAGGTTAAAGGTCACTGGCATGGAGTCGTGTGTATTAATCACATTTATAAACATCCATTTGGCAAGACATTGACAGATGTTCACATCCAGACAGATTTACATAATTCAGCATTTACATACACCGAGTGTACAAAACATGACATGCTCTTTCTGTAGCATAGACTGGCCAGGTGAATCCAGGTGAAAGCTATAATCCCTTATTGATGTCACCATTTTACTGTCTGGTATGCCGTAGCTATTCCACTCACGTGCCAAGATGCCAGACTGTTTTCATTTGTGCGCCAGAAAATCCCCCAGCACATTAGTCTATCAGAACCATGTTTCCCTTTCAAAAGGACAGTGTGAGCTTGGTCCGCGCCAAACTGCCACACACACTCTGCATACACTCTAATGGAACACACATACTCACGAAAGCATGCCTACATTTAGGCTATAAACACACAAGAACGTGCACACGCACACACACACTATGCAAGACTGTGAGTAGACACATGCACAGCTGCCAACATACATACAGCTCACATGGACTCTACTCTATGTTCACAGCCCCTACACTCAGGACAGAGTGACAAACCAGCTGGGATGTATAGAATGAGACAATCTCTCTTAGAAAAATATTCCACTCTATTAAATGAGTAATGCATATAATGATTAAGGCATTAGCTGTTGAACAATAAACAATAACACACACACACACACTGTCAAACACACACATAGACTGATCAGGGTTTGAAACAGTGCCCAGCTGACCAAACCACTATGGTAAGCGTCAAATAATCATGATGGATTATGTTAATAAAACACTGAATCAACACAACAATTAGGTCCATTCATCTATCCAGCCATGATGTCAAACAATATCTACCAGTCACTCTCAGTCATATCATTAGTAACATAATGGCTTGCGTAGGGAAAGGTGTTTTCTGTTTTTGATGTAGGATCGTTACTGAAACAAGACTTGACATGTTAGTTGCTATAGTGTTGCTGCGTGGCGATGTGGCAGCTAATGGAGACTTTTAATTGGACCACAGCCCTTGGCAAAACTATTATTGGCAAGAGTGTGTGATTGGACAAAATCTTTTTAACTGGAAAAGTGATTTGATTGGACAAAACTGCTGTTGAGTGTTCCATCCCGTATATACTGTATGTCAAGAACACATCTAGGATATATATATATATTTTTTATAAGTATATAAGTGTAATAAGTTCAGTAAATCATTGACATTATCATAAAAATAATGTATCTAAAATCACAGAAATAACCTAATGCAACTTGTTATGCAGACAAAACATTTTGGAGGCTAAGCCTAACTAAATGATGTTTTTACAAAGGTTATATAATCTATTTGCTTAGCAGACGTCCTCCCTCGCAGCAATTTACATATTTCAACATTTACATACCATCTATTTGGCTACCTGGTGATTACTTCAGCACAACTTAGTTAAGCGCTTTCCCTACAGTGTCAGTGTGACAACAACCATTGCTCTGGTCGCAAATCCAACTCCCTCACCAATAGGCCTGGGAATTGCACACTGTAAAAGTGTGAAAACATTTGATCAGTGTTATTTCCCGATTGTAGCTAGTTGAAAATACAATTTACACAGGACCTTCTAATCAACAGATTTGCATAGTTTTGGCTTGCCTGGTGACATCACCAGGAGGCAAATTGGTTAATCTACCAATAACAAATAGAGTTCCAAACCTCTCTGCCAATAACAGCCATTTTTCAGTTTTCCCATCCCCACTCAGACCACTCCCAGACAGAATTTTTTGTTGTTGCTAAAAAGCTAATTTTGTCCATTGTAATGGGAAACTATTACAGTAAAAACGTTTCCACCCACAGTTTTTATGTGAGTAAAGTCATACCATACAAACGTAAAATTTTTGAAATGCCGACAGATCATTTGTTCGTTCGACATCGTGGGATCTTTTTGTGTCGTAAAATGTATTATGCGAGAAATGGCAGTGGAAGCGCCTTAGTGGTCAAATATTGATATAATCACCATCATTTCGAAGTAAACTTGGAGTCACGCGATGATATGCTGTGTGGTCCCTCCCACTACCACGCGGGAAATAATGCAGTTTATTAGGCTACAGATGAAATAACTTATGATGAACTTCACAGAAATTCTTGATGCTCCTTTTCTGGTGACAAATACAGTGGGGAGAACAAGTATTTGATACACTGCCGATTTTGCAGGTTTTCCTACTTACAAAGCATGTAGAGGTCTGTAATTTTTATCATAGGTACACTTCAACTGTGAGAGACGGAATCTAAAACAAAAATCCATAAAATCACATTGTATGATTTTTAAGTAATTAATTTGCATTTTATTGCATGACATAAGTATTTGATACATCAGAAAAGCAGAACTTAATATTTGGTACAGAAACCTTTGTTTGCAATTACAGAGATCATACTTTTCCTGTAGGTCTTGACCAGGTTTGCACACACTGCAGCAGGGTTTTTGGCATACAGACCTTCTCCAGATCCTTCAGGTTTCGGGGCTGTCGCTGGGCAATACGGACTTTCAGCTCCCTCCAAAGATTTTCTATTGGGTTCAGGTCTGGAGACTGGCTAGACCACTCCAGGACCTTGAGATGCTTCTTACGGAGCCACTCCTTAGTTGCCCTGGCTTTGTGTTTCGGGTCGTTGTCATGCTGGAAGACCCAGCCACGACCCATCGTCAATGCTCTAACTGAGGGAAGGAGGTTGTTGGCCAAGATCTCGCGATACATGGCCCCATCCATCCTCCCCTCAATATGGTGCAGTCGTCCTGTCCCCTTTGCAGAAAAGCATCCCCAAAGAATGATGTTTCCACCTCCATGCTTCATGGTTGGGATGGTGTTCTTGGGGTTGTACTCATCCTTCTTCTTCCTCCAAACACGGCGAGTTGAGTTTAGACCAAAAAGCTAAATCTTTGTCTCATCAGACCACATGACCTTCTCCCATTCCTCCTCTGGATCATCCAGATGGTCATTGGCAAACTTCAGACGGGCCTGGACATGCGCTGGCTTGAGCAGGGGGACCTTGCGTGCGCTGCAGGATTTTAATCCATGACGGCGTAGTGTGTTACTAATGGTTTTCTTTGAGACTGTGGTCCCAGCTCTCTTCAGGTCATTGACCAGGTCCTGCCGTGTAGTTCTGGGCTGATCCCTCACCTTCCTCATGATCATTGATGCCCCACGAGGTGAGATCTTGCATGGAGCCCCAGACCGAGGGTGATTGACCGTAATCTTTAACTTCTTCCATTTTCTAATAATTGCGCCAACAGTTGTTGCCTTCTCACCAAGCTGCTTGCCTATTGTCCTGTAGCCCATCCCAGCCTTGTGCAGGTCTACAATTTTATCCCTGATGTCCTTACACAGCTCTCTGGTCTTGGCCATTGTGGAGAGGTTGGAGTCTGTTTGATTGAGTGTGTGGACAGGTGTCTTTTATACAGGTAACGAGTTCAAACAGGTGCAGTTAATACAGGTAATGAGTGGAGAACAGGAGGGCTTCTTAAAGAAAAACTAACAGGTCTGTGAGAGCCGGAATTCTTACTGGTTGGTAGGTGATCAAATACTTATGTCATGCAATAAAATGCAAATTAATTACTTAAAAATCATACAATGTGATTTTCTGGATTATTTTTTTAGATTCCGTCTCTCACAGTTGAAGTGTACCTATGATACAAATGACAGACCTCTACATGCTTTGTAAGTAGGAAAACCTGCAAAATCGGCAGTGTATCAAATACTTGTTCTCCCCACTGTACAAATATTCTCGCTCTTAATAATCTCATCATGTAGAGTAGCCTACCCACAAAGCCTAGCCGCACTCTATCAGCAAGCTGTTGGCTAGAGCGCGTGCCAAGACCAGAGCAGGCACATTTGCTATTCAACGCAACAATTTTTGTGACAAAACTATCGGTACAGTTGAAAATGCGATGGAAACACATTATTCTTGAACTTGATTTTTATTAGATGCATGAAAACGTAAGCAAAAAAGTACATTTTGTGTGCAGTACGTCATCACGCACTGGTGGGAATATTCACATGAAAATCTGTCTGCAATTGGATGGAAACCTAGCTAGTAAGGTACTTAATCGTTACAAAAAAATGGCTGCATCGGGCCTTTAAACTAAGGGGTCATTGATTATGAGGGTACAGGTCAGAGCAGGTCAGGTCTTACTGTCAAACACTGAGAAAGGCCTATCATATTCTCATTTTCTCTCTCTCTTTCTCTCTCTCTCCCTCGCTTCTCTCCACTAGCTTCCTAAGCTGATTAATGGCTTGCAAATATTTTACCATGAGTTTATAGGGTTGTTTATGAGGCTAAGGCCCAGTTCAATTCAACCCAAAAGCCACAAAGCATTCCCACCTTAAGAATGCCTACTTGAAAGAATACTAACAGAAATAACTTGGTAACGGAAACAACCAGGTAACAGAAATGACCAGTGTACAGAAATAACTTGGCAATGGTAACAGAAATGACTTGGTAACAGAAATGACTTAGTAACAGTGAGGACTTGAAAAATGACCAAGTAACACACATGACTTGGTGACACAAACAACTTGGTAACAGGGCTGGGAATTGCCAGGGACCTTACGATACGTTATTATCACGATACTTAGGTGCCGATACAATATGTATTGCGATTCTCACAATTCTCACGATTCTATATGTATTGCAATTCGATACTGCGATTTGATGTTCCAAACATTAAGGCGGTGATGATACCAGCGTCGCAATAGTTTTTCCATGGCAAAAAAAAACCTGCTATATGTAAAATATTGTGTGCTATAGCTTGGAAAATAAATACATGTGACTCTGGATGACATCATAATGATGTTTGTTTCCAACATTAGGGCTGATTTCCTAAAGAAGTTAAAGGGATACTTCGGGATTTTGGCATTTTTATGTCTCTGCATGTAGTTTGTTGCTAACTAGCGCATTGACTGGAAGT